ACCCATGTATGGGGTATGGGTATAGGTATGCATCTATCTGTATACGTGTGTATGTGTGTATGCATGTCTATCCATGTGTATGTATGCGTGTGTAGGTCTGCATGTGTTTGTTTTTGATGTGCATGAGCATATGCAGTTGAACTATGTAAATGTGTAAACATATACATGAATGTATACATGATCAGCATACACGGATACTTCTACGACATGAACACACAATTACATACATAAACCCTTTTTCCCTAAACCCTCAAGTTCGCAGGCAAATGAAATTTCAATCCTCCCCCTTCTTGGAGCCCTGCCGATGCTTGCTTCTACGATAAGCATTCTGCCCCATGTTGCCGCCCTACATAAGCTCTAAACCCTTAAAGTCCTAAACCCCGCAGGCCCTAAACCCCTGAGGCCCCTGAACCCACTACTGTGCTATGCTTTCGAACCAGGGGCTAATTCAGTGGGGTTGGGCTTTTGGGTTGATGCCTTTAGGGGTTAGCGCTTTGGGTTGATGATAAGGGTTTGGGTGCATCGTGTTGCGGAGTTTCTCATCGGTTCATGGAAGCACACCAAAATCCCACACCCTCATTGCCGAAATCATGAAACCTCACCATACGAACAAGCGTTTACATCCAAGCATCTGCGTTTTCGGCGACGCGGGCGTCTCAACCGGCTCCTCTGAAGTGCAGCTGCTTTAGGGTTGTGGGAAGGACACAGCTTTCATTGAAATCTGCAAGCTTCGGGTTCTGACAAACTAAACCCGCAGTGCTCCACATACTTTGGGTAACCGGCCGAGGCTCAGGAGCAATGCTTCACCAAAGCCCGAACAAACCCATGAACCTTGCGGAGTGCTGAGACTCCCGAATCCTCCCCGGTAATGAACTGAAGCTCATTTAGTTACAGGGTTTGGGGTTTGGGGTAGCAGCATTCGGCACAGGAACGGAGCCACTCACAGTTTGACGAGAACCGATGGATAGGGTTACAGGCAGTTTCCCGAAACCCTCAAGAAGTGCTTCCGCAGCCTGCCAAACACTGCTCGAGGTACTAGTAGGTATACTGCAGTTTACCGACTCAATCTAGCATCATGCGACCGACCCTCTTAACCCCCAAGCAGCCCCGCAACACTGCATGAGGCTACTAGTGGGGCCTTATAACACTTAGGACAGGCTTCTGTGGTATGCTACTGAAATTATTCTAACTCCAAGAAAGAACCAACAGGAATAATGGTTATAGTACCCTACTAGGTATGAAGCTTCATGCAAACCCTAATCCCTGAACCCTAAACTCTGAACCGCCTAGGCCCTATACGACAGAAGTGTGACTCTCCCTCGACGCCTCGGCGGCAGCCCGCGCAGCACTCCGGGCTGCAGGGCGGCGTGGAGCGGAAACGAAAGTCTCAGAGAGGAAGCCCACGACCTCGATTCAGTCTCTTTCTAGGTTTTTGTTCCCTTGTAGGGTTTAGGGTTTAGGGTTTAGGGTGTCTTTCTAGGTTTTTGTTCCCTTTTCGGGTTTAGGGTTTAGGGTGTCTTTCTAGGTTTAGGGTTTAGGGTTTCCAAGTTTACGCTCTCGCAACTCGGACAAGCCAGGCGAGGCTCTATAGGTTTGAGTCGGCGTGATACTGGTACAAG